TCAAGCCTATTGTGAGCATAGCGAGCTTAGGTATTCAGTGTGTCTCTGCATCTATCGACGGAGAAACGTTTCGTTATTAAGTCGTGTTTGTTGTATACGCATAAAATCATTTGATTTTCGTTATTTTTGAGTGTATGTTTAAAGTGTGCTGTATTGAAAAACTTTAAAAATGTCGTTGAAAGTGATTAATTTGAAAAGAAAAAGACCAAACGAACAGTTATGTTTATTTTGTGAAAAATCAAATGATTTAGTGAAATAATCAAGGTCAAGCACACTGCTTAATATTAAAAAGCAGCATATAGAAGAAAAGACAACATTAGTGAAAAGTTTTTAAAACTGTATAATCCGGACTCTACAAGACAAGAATTTTCATGGAACCAAGGCTACTTATTTAAGTGAGGAGAAAATACGGCGTCGAGAAATTGCGTTGTGTAAAGAAGAAGAAAAAGAAGAATCTGTTTCAACTTCCGACGCAAGCCTAGGGTTACGTTCTCAAAAATCTCGTTCGTCATCAGGGACACCTGCAGAAGCAAGCAAATCATTGAAAGGCTTAATTTGTAGAAAATTAACGAGGAACAACGATAAGCAGCTGTATTTGTGTTCCGAAATTGCAGCAGCGGAACAAATTTTAAATACTGCACGCAGTAAAGAAGACCATGTTTTCACTCAACTTAGTGCTTATCAACGGCCTGAAGATTTATTTGCTATCGAAGTGAGGTATCACAAACATTGTTACCGTGAGTATTTAAGAATGCCGAAAAATTCAACAAAACCAGCCGGTCGACCTTCGTCGAGAATTACTTAACGATGCATTTGAAAAACTCATAGATGAAATTAAAGATCAGTTTTCAACTCATTCTTTTGAGGTGCACTTCTGAGATCAGCGACTCGCTAAACTTACAAACATAGAAGATGGTGTGATCGAGGATCGTGTAGTAAAATCACTACTTATTGATAAATTTGGTGAAAACATATTATTTATTTACCCAACTGATAGATCAAAATCTTCATTAGTCTTTATTGGAAATATACCATTGGCGGAAATAATAGAACATGGGAGATTTTTCTGTAAGCTTTGTTTAATGCAAAAAATAAAAATTGAGTGATAACTATTATAGAAGAGCATTATCTGTACATACTTTATGACATATTTTTTGCGGTTACTGAGAAACAGACACCAAAACATATAGCTTCAGCAGAATCAATTCATCACTTGACTCGATCAAAACAGTTGATAAGTATATTGAATAAGTTTGGACATTGCATCAGCTATAAAGCATCACAAGAGCTTGATTTAGAAGTAACAATTTCAACCGCATGTGAAGATGCGGAAAAAAATTTGCTTATACCTAAGAATATAGTGAAAAATTCATCGTTATTTCTTCATGGCTCTATTGGCAACAATGACTTCAATGAAGAAACATCAAAGACTGCACCCATGTAACAGCAATGGTAATTTACCAAGGAAAAAATCCTATCGAGAACGAAATAAATCTCGTTAAACATAAACCTACAGCTGAACAGTTTGAGTATGATTTTAAGGCCCTAAATTATTATAACTTCAAATCAAGTATGGAACCTTTAATATATTTAACAGCAGTTGCCTACTAGCTTCCAATCACAATTACTCACAATTTGATACTTTGCTCTGGGTTTTATGTAGATTGCAACATGATCAATTATTGAAAACTTTTGTCGACCATTGAAGAACTCGATACCAGGATGGACTCGATTCCAACAATTACTATCTTGTGAGAATTCTCCTATATCTTAAATTGGCTTTAGCCCGGTAATTTCTCAACCATCTACTTCAAAAGATGTTGCATATACTGCAATGAGAAATTTTGTTAACTTATGTCAGTCATTGAATAAAAATATAGCTGTTCCTTCATGCGACATGTCTATTTACCTGATAGCAAAAAATATCCAACAAAGTAGTCAAGAATTCGAGAGATTGATATTACGAATTGGAACAGTTCATCTACAAAAAAATGTCTTACGATGTTTGGGCCAATATATAGGAGGAAGTGGAGTCGACAGCATTCTTATCGAAGCCAATGTTTATGGTGTTAATACTTTGGCATCAATTCTTAAAGGTACTCAGTACAACAGGGGCATCGGAGCCCATAAACTTATGTATGAAGCATTGAGAAGCACACAGTTTATGTAATTTATTGATTACATGAATTTATCTGAGGATGGGACTTTCAACGAGAAATTACAGCAATTGAATATCTGTCTTCAAGATATAAGAGAAGTAACAGTAGATAAGGATCGTATCAGTTTAAGCGATAAATATAACCAACATAAAACTATAATTGAAACTTTTCTTTCCAATTATTAAAATTTTTTAAATCACATGAGCACTGAAAATGAACTATTCAAATATTTAAATAATTACTGTGAAATGATAGAAATTCTTTTGAATTCAATTATGGCCGACAAAAGTAATAACTATGAATTGCATTTATTGACTACTCGATAAATTTTACCTTATTTCTTTTCTATGAATCACACAAATTATATTCGTGGGGTGACAGTTTACTTACAAGATATGTTACAATTACCTGCAGACGTTATGCATGATATGCAGAGAGGAATGCATGCCGTTAAGTGAACTCCAGGAACATTCAATGCAGTTGGCTGTGACTTAGCACTAGAAAAATCTCAAAATCGATCTTCTGCATTGACTGGAAGCTTAATTGGCATCACTAAAAATCAAGAAGCAATGCAAAGATGGTTGCTCCTGCATCCTTTCAAAAATAGCGTTCACTCAATGCTTTCTTCATACCTTGGAATACAATCTGACACTACAGGTGACATTAATAGTCATAATGAATGGACACAATCGAGAATTAATACGGACGAAAAGGATGTTGAAAATATCATTAAATGTTTCAAAGCTTGCGATCCTTTTAATAGTAGTGGGGATTGTGTGCTTCGTAATATTTTCACAGCTGAACCTGCTGAAGAATTAACTTCGGGATGCTTACTTAATGTTAAAGAAAATGGGCAAACTCTATTTAATACATACGAAAATGATAGATTGCTCAAGAAAACTAAGAAATTATCGGATCCTATACAAAAAACTGAATTTTACAATTTTGAAAATACTCCTGCTAGAACAAACAAAACTTACTTCCAACAAAATATTGCAAGACTTAACTGACATAACAATTTTCCAAAACTCATTCATGGTGGCTTCTCAATGTGGATTTGATACAAAGATATTAGCATCGTATGAAGTACTGAATTACTGCAAGTATTTCTTTGATAAAGACGGATTTTATAGGAAGTCACCAAAATCTCAACTAGCAGTTGAAATTCAAAAAACTATAACTGTGGTACGAGCCCTCAGCAAGATATAATAAATTTAAATACTTTCAGAATTTTTATAGTTGATGGTATGGCGCTTGTTCACAAAATTCAGTTAAATAAGTTCAATCGTGATTTTGCTGAGGCTTTCTTCAAAAAAATTATGCATTTTTTACGCTGCCTGACGTGAAGAGAATAGATGTAATATTCAACAGATATGACGACATTTCTATAAAGTTTATGGAGTCAAAGTTACGCAGTAAAGGCGAAATTATGAAAAATGTCATAATTTCAAGTCATTCAACAAAAATTCCTGCTGATTGTAAAGCTTTTCTTGCAAACATTCAAAATAAATTACAACTTGTTCGATTTCTTTGCACTAATGCTCCAAAATATGCACAAGCTAAAGAAGACTGCGAGATGTACATTTGTGGAGGATTCGACCATCCAACTAAATGTTTCAAGTCACAAGGGTCTTTATTTTGTGAGATACTTGAATTACAATCAAATCACTTAGAGGCTGATTCAAGAATGTTTTGCCATATTTGTTCCATGCAGTAAAGACTCAATCTGCTCATATTATTATAATCAGCGCTGATACAGATGTATTCATATTGGCAATTTATTTCTGGAAATACTTAGCAAATATCGGGTGTCTTGGTCTATGGTTCGATGGTTCTCATACAAAGAAATGTTTTTTAGGATGCCATTTAGCTGCTGAATCACTGCGTGAAAGGATATACACGATATTTTGCCAGCATTACATGATATAAGTGGTTGCGACACTACTAGCAGATTTGACAGTAAAGTACAATGTTTGAAAGCTGCGTCTGAAGATTTTGTACAAACAGCTATTAAGTGTTTGGGAAACCTTGACCTAAATAATGAACAATTGAAACAGTTAGAAATAGTTTGCACTTATTTCTTTTCAAAAAAATATTTGTTGATGAACTCAGATATTAACTGATTTCACAAAACTCGGGCTTCGGTTTTAATTTGATGAAAGTAATATGCACATCAGATGTTTTGCATTTGCATTTATTAAGGGCTACAGTACAAACATTTATTTGGAAAAATTCTTATCAAACACAATTACATCCCATCAATTATTGTTTGTACGGTTAGGAAAATGACTAAGCCGCCTTTACCAGAGTTATTAATTCAACCTTGTAAATGTACTGCAAATTGTCGCACAATGTCGTGCAGTTGCAAAAAATCTATTTTTTTTGTATTTCTCTATGTAAATGTATTAACAACAATTGTCTAAATATAAATGAGTAAGTGTTTGCCTACTTTATGTATATTTTTATATAAATTTACTTTTTTTAATATATAATCTTTTCTATTATTAATAAAGATTTTATTACTTTTATTTTTATTTTATTTTTTTCATTTAACAATCCGTCCTCACTTTCACCATTAGAAAAATATATAAATTATTACTGAAATAATCATTAAAATGGTTTTACTGATTGTACTCAATACATTTTCTTTACAAATAAGGGCAGAGGGGTAAAAAAAATTGACCAAATATTTAACCGGCAAGATCCACATTATAAATTTTTGACTTTCTTTTACCTTAAATCCATTGGTGGAATTCGATCCTCACATTTTGCATACTCACTTACCTCTATCGCATACGTTTTCCAACAGGGCAACGTCTATAATATGGCATTAAGGCTCACCTCTGATCCGGTTGCTCGACAACAGAATATCCCAAGGGAGTAAATCCCACCAGGCTAGAGTACGCCCAAAATACAACAATGTATCTTTCTACGGCTGAGTGGGTAATTAAGTTGTTGTACCTGTAATAAAATTAAATGGTTTACCACTTTCTAAACATTCAACATGTTTATAGAGGGTGGTTACATTATTTATGATAGTCGTAGCTACTCTATAGATGCAGATCTGTTTACATATACATATACGTCCCGTGTGAGGGCGAAGTATTGTTTCTAAACAAAAAGCTTTCAATAAAAACTATATATGGATTATTATATATGGTGTCTGGAGGCAGAGCGTGGCAATTTTGACCCACACATCAAAGCTTTTTATTACACATTCGTATAGGCCCCTTCAAAATAATAAGATTGATATAACATTTTGGTTCTGATTATTAGTTGTTGAGTTAATGGATATTTTGTATCAAAAAAATCAAAGTTCTATGGCCTGTATATCTGCCATGTTGATAAGATTTATGATTTTGGTCAATTTTAGCCCAATTCGCCCAATTGTTTGAATGTTAAATGCATGATGGTCAAAAATGCAGAATGTTCTTTTTCGCAGAAAAAATTAACAGAACAACCTGCTGTTGTCATTCACATTTTCTGTTTGATGAAACCCTGATTTTATAAACAGTTTGTCAAGAACCCTTTACTAGTTTTGTTTCCATGGATTATGTGCCTTGTTTGAATAGAGAAATATTCAATTCGGAAACAAATAGCTCAGACGCAGAAACCGTTTGCACACACTGGTAACCACCTCATGATAAAAAAGCGTATGAAAATTAAATTCGATGGTGTGAATATATACAGGGTGTTTCATTTTTTTTGCGATAAAGCACATTTTGAGTTTTGACCACCCTGTATTGATCATTCAGAAAATTCGAAAAATGGATTAATCAGGCTAAAACAGAGTATGATAAAATATTTTCTAGATAAAATTCACTACACCAGCTATAAAGATAGCGGGTACGCAGACTATTAGGATTTAATATTTTTTTAGATAAAATACTCAATAGCTTAAGATTGAGTTATCAAAAATCATAAGTATGACATATAAGTCCCCTTCTTTTAAAAGGGTCTAGCCAAATATGTAATAAAAAGTGGAGCATTCTATTTTAAGAAAATAACTTTGATATGTGGGTCAAGATTGGGACACTCTACATAAATGTGAATATTTAATAAAAACGCTTCCAGATACTATATACAGGGTGACTTTGAAGTTGAGTCATTAATTTTCAGATAATGATTGTAGAAGGAAGATAAACCAAAATATGTGTGTAAAAATAAAAAAAAAATAAAAAAAAAATGTTACCTTGTTTAATAAAGTATCCTCCCGACAAGTACTTCAGTGCGGACCTGTATTTGATCGTGCGGTCTTGGAGCACCATGCCCTCACCTGTGAGGTCTTAAGTCACCTGATTCACGAGCCCTTTGTACTACATTAAAAAAGGCACGAGGGGTTGGTTGCACTCGATTGGGAAACCGATTCGCGTAAATCCGTGATGCATCCGGGAGCATTTTGTAAAGACTGCCCCCCCGTAAATAAGAATCATGTCCACAAGTTCAGCATTTTCGTAAACATGTGCCATTTTTGATTTCGTTTGAACCACGCAACACACTACTATTCACTTACGCGTTATCGACTGACGAAAAACATCGTGATAAACGTTTCAAATTCTTTCGCTTTTTTGTTTCCGATGCGATGAACCGGTCAGGCGGATTATATCCGTTGTCGCCAAACACGAGCATATAATAGGCAGGGCGGTACTCAAACTTCCAAAGGGCTATAACTTTGTTACTTTAATTTTACCAGAAAAATGGTAAAGGAAAAAAACATTTCTTTTGATCAGATCTACTTACTGTTAAAATAAATGACTCAACTTCGAAGTCACCCTGTATAATAATCCATGCACAGTTTCTTTGTTAACGAGCAATACTCCGTCCTCACCCGGCTGGGACACGTTGTATACAGTGCCTTCCTTCAATATACGCTATCTTATACATTTTGGAAGGCTTTGTACAAAAACTCTAAAATTTGACAGTCATCGAGTCTGTCATTTTGAAACGTATATCTAATGAAGCGTCCAGCCAAATGTCACTTTTACGCTGAAATTTAGAGTTCAGTCATTTTTCAATGATATTCGGCAAGGTTATCACCTAAAGAACTTATATAATGTCAAAAAACCGATAGAATGTCAACTAATTGTTGTGTGTGGTGTGCTAATAGTTCATTATGTTCCGTCCTGGTCGAAGTAAATATTTAGAAAACACATAACCTAGTATATATAAACACTCATTCCTTCTTCTCGTGCCAAACGTTAACATGTCAATCGGGTTTCGCGCATCCTTATTACATTTTCTTTAGTGACGCGGAATCGCTGAATATCTTAGAATTAGAGAACAGGGCAGAAGGTTGGACGATGGATATGCATTGTCGGCAAGATGCCGACGGACGGTCGCCTTCAATGTTCCTTTCGTCGCTTGTTTGGGATAGCAACATGGACCTAGCTTGTGATAGTCAGCCAAGGACGAATGAAGACGTTTCGGATAACGACTCAACACTGAACTCCGTTGCTTGTGATGTTAGCTTGTACTTAGCTTGTGATGGCTAAGATCTTACAACAAATAATAACACTGAAAGTATGGTCAACAATCTCTTCTCATTTGCTCGTGATAGCAAATTTCACCTGGCTTGTGATGACCATGGAACAGGAATGTAAGTTTGAACATAGCAGGTTAGGAAATGGTTAAGGTCTTTTTTTCCTTATTACCATATAGAGATTAGGTATCTTATGCGAGGTTAGCCTTACATTTGCTTGTGATAGCAAATTCCATCTGGTTTGTGATAACCTTGGATCAGCATTGTAGGAAACCACAGAAGTACCATTTTTCATTAATAACAGATAGATTAGGTTCATCTATTCGAGACTAGCATTACATTTTGTTTGTGATAGCAAATTCTATCTAGTTTGTGATAGCAATGTTGTAATATAGCATTTTTAATTCATAACAGATACAAATTGGGTACATCTATTTGAGACTAGCGTTACATTTTGCTGGTGACAGCAAATTCCATCTGGTTTGTGATATCTATGGAACAGGTGTGTAATTATGAACATGTCAAGTTAGGAAATTGCCAACGTATATATTTTTCTTATTATCAGTTAGAGAAAAGGCACCCATGCGAGGTTAGCGTTGCATTTTTCTTGTGATAGCAAATTCCATCTAGTTTGTGATAACCTTGGAACATGATTGTCAGAATTCAATTCAACTGAATTCAATTCAATTTTTTTTCCATAGACAGACAATACTGTATAGAAACTGTCAATACAATAAGTCCTAAGACTAAAAAATTAAGATAATTAATAAGGTCTAACTGTTAAAAACTACAAAAACTAAAAAAACTCTGACTGACTGTAAAAACTGTTCTCCAGCAGATAACTTTTCAATTCTTTCTCAAAGGATTTCTTACTGGTTTTTACTTTTATATAATCGGGCAGACGACTGAAAACTTTCGGTCCCATTACAGTGGGTGAACTTGTAGTTATATTACATCTGGCAACTGGAACTAGCAGTCAATTTTTTTGTCTTGTATTTAGATCGTGTGTGCTACCTACTAATGGAAATCTGTTTTTACAGTCAAACACGTATAAGCATAGCTGTAAATATATAGGCACGTAAGAGGTAAAATTTTTAAAGTATATCACCAATATGATTCTGAATGTTATGGAGTCGTAGACATTTTGTTTTCTCTAAATTCTTGTAAAGGTCTAAATCATGTAGGTATGATATTACATCACGAACGGTAGTATTACAGCGTTGAGGCAAACTGTTATTATCAAAATCGCTTGCGCGTGACAGTTTAGGAAACCGCTAAAGTACCGTTGTTCGTTAATAACAGATAAGAGATATTAGGTTTCATCTATGCGAGAATAGCGTTACATTTTGCTTGTGATAGCAAATTCCATATGGTTTGGGATAGCCATCGAACAGGTCAATAACATGCACATGACACGTTACGAAACCGCCGAAGTACCATTTGTCATTAATAACACATAGACATTAGGTACATCTATGGTAGACTAGCATTACATGTTGTTTGTGATAGCGAATTCCACCTGGTTGATGATTATTATGGAACAGGACTGTACGCATGAACATGGCCGGTTAGGAAACCACCAAAGTGCTAACGTTCAGTAAAAACGGAGATTAGGTATCATTATGCCCGATTAGCGTTACATTTTACACAGGTGGCACTCGAGCAACAGGGCGTTCTGAATTGTGATGTCTTAAAGGCCATGTATTCTGTTTCAATAGATGACGCATCACCATGTTCATGCGGCGACCTTAGTATAATTAATGTTTGCGCATTGTTCCAAGGCTGACATTTCGACAGCAGGTCTTGTTGATGACTATAGATATATAAATTCTGTTTTATTCTAGCCACTAAGGTGAACCCTGAGGTAGCGGAAGCCATAATAGAAATTGTCTCATGCAGGGATGCGCGCTTGGTGTCTGTACAGCAACAAGTGAGTGTTCATTAACTGCAAGTGGCAATACTCTCTCCTCTAGGTTCAAAAAAGGGGGGGAGCGTATGCTGGCAGATATTCACATTAAAGCAAAGCACTCAAGAGTACTGTATCAGAAGCTTCAATTGGTATATTGCTCTTCGGTGTAGGTCTGGCCAGGTAAGTCAATTCTAAATAGAAATCAATTAAATACGAGCAGCAACTGAAGGCTAACAGGCCGGACAACGTACTGACAACATCAGACATCACCGATTATTGCAGATGAGGCACGTAGATCAGCAGGGACATTGACGCGTATTCATCATCAATGGCAGAGGTTTAGGAGTGGCGCTAAAGTCCTGAGTTAGATTCAAGTGGTCACTTGCCATTCACATGGCGACTGGTTCAGCACTCAGCCATAGCTGAGTCTCATTAGTCCATCTACGAACTACCGACCTTCGACAGTCTCTCAATTGCTCAGCCGCGGTGCTATCAGTAAAAAAGTTGAGCTAACTAAAAATCAGCGGCTATCCAACTTTTTCTTGCCCCCAAGTCTAATGAGTCAATACGTTT